AAATCACCATGGCCCGACCGCGCAGCGAGAAGAAGGCCGAGGGACCGACGATCCATACTAGCGAGCTCTGGGGTGATGCGGGAGCTTGGCCCGATTCTAAGCGCTCTATACCGGTCAGGGGCATTTCGCGACCAGTATTCCGACGCAGAGGCCTCGCAGCGAAGAATGACAATTCTCCTTGCTCTGGCAATGGAAGGGGCCAAGTTGGGGGCGGTTATAGTACAGGCCGCTTTGTCGAGAGCATCTGCCTTTTCATTTCCAGGTATTCCTGAATGCGCTGGGCACCAGCGTACAGAGACCCTTCCTGGCTCAGTGTATCTGGCACGGTTCCTTGAAGGTCAGGATCTTGCGAGATCCCGAAATTTTGCGATCCGAGTCGAGCTGGATGGGGTCGGCGGTCCAAGGAGTAAGCGAGACGCTGCCTCTTGGTTGTCGAGACAGACAGTGATATTGGTGGCGTAGTATGCCATTGGGTTTCTAATTGCAGCTGCGAGGCCTTCCATGGCCCCGACGACTTCTGCATCATATACTTCTGCTGATTGACCCAGAGGAACAGAGCCTTGATCGATCACATGTTTTGCGCCGCGATAAATGCAGTACCCTGCCCCTGCTGAGCCTTCCATCAGAGCTCCGTCTGAGAAAACGAAGAGGTCCAGGGGCGGTGCTGAGGAATGCCATTGGGTGAAGACTTGGAGCCCTGCTCCACGACCAACTGCTCCAATTGCTGCGAGTCTTTCGTCTCTTTTTGGTATCCAGGGAGGTGAAGTGCTCTAATTTATTTATTTATAATGCTTAACGTCGTGCCGGCGCACAGCACGGGAGCTCCTCGCGTGACGGTTAGCTCAGTCTAAATAAAACTACCCGACGTGTTGGCGCCTGAACAAACCCAACATAGCAAATGAAAGCCAGGATCTGATCTTCCTGCGCTTGAAGATTAAATTATACATGGTTACCGGTCTCCCTTCAACTCTCATGTATTCAGATGGTATTAAATGAAGAATAGATTAAATAAACAACATGGAAGGGGGCACTTAGTTGAATCACATAATTCCCTTTCGGTCAGACTTGTTGTGCTTTTCCAAAGAAATTTGTGACATGCACCCAGCTATTAAATGCGTGAACTCCCTCCGCGGAAGCGAGAGCCCAAGATATGCCGGGACTAGGATTCTATGCTCTGTGGAGCTGTGCCTGGTATTGCCCGAGGTAGCTATAGAAAAAGTGGTTGGGGGACTTTTCTTCTCCGCATGAGCAGGTTAGAATGGCGTTTTCGTGCTGAAACCGTCGGTGGTAGTCTGCGAAATCGCCATGTCCAGACCGTGCAGCCAATAGATATCCTAGTGTGCGTCGCCCTAGACAGGCGAGCTCAGCAGTAATCTTAGTATTAGGACCAACTCCTAATTCTTTATATCTAGATGGAGAATTTTCTGCCCAGTAAAGTGCAACAGAAACCTCGTACTGGGCTTTGACTTCCCTTCTTGCCCTCGCAATAGAGAATACCGAGTGTAGAGCTGGAGCCGCACAAGCGGCTTTGGCAAGCGCGTCGGCTGCTTCGTTTCCCAGAATTCCTGCGTAGCCCGGGGACCATTGGATTTCTTCCCCAGGCGTTTTTTTTTGGCCACGTAACCTTATATTCCAGTTTGCTGCAAGCTTGCGAAAGAGAAAGATTTTCGCTGAGATAGACGCTATGGGAACATCAGAGAGAAGACGGAGGGCAGCCTCCTGGTTGTCAAGGCAAACGGTGACGTTAGTGGCGTAGAAAGCCAGTGGGTCGAGGAGTGCTGCAGGAAGGCCTTCCGTGGCCCCGGCAATTTCGGCATCATAGACCTCTGCCGAGTTTTCTAGAGGGAGTGATCCTCGCCCAATCTCCTGCGTGAGGCCTCCATAGATGACGTACCCCGCGCCTGCTCGGTCTGCTATGAAAGCTCCATCTGAAAATACGAATAAGTCTAGAATGGGTCGTGTAGCCTACCACTGTTTGAAGGGATTTGATCCCAGGAGTCTACCTACTGCACCAATTTCGATGAGCTTTTCTTCACGGGATGACGACCACGGTGGGGGGATGGTATCTTCGGAAAGTTCTAGTGAAATCCTCTGGCGGATCCAGCGCATGCGGCTAGTGTTCCAACGCCTACGAAGAGGGTGATAGGGATCAGCTGCAGCAATTCGAACTGCTAGACGACTATAAATTCGGGAGAGCCACGTCTGGGCTGGGCTCCAGCCAGCTTCTCGTAGAAGTGCTGCTATTGGTGATCCTCGCTTCCGGTGAAAGTATTGCACCTCAGTCTTAGGAAGTTCGGAACTAATTCCGTTAGTAAGTCCCCATGCTATGGTGCTGTCTAATTTCTCCTGGAGTTTGCGTTCACACTCGACAAGGGAGGGCGCAGACGTAAAGAGAGCAATATCATCTGCATAGCCAAAGCGGCCAGTGGAAAGATGTAGTGCCTCTTCCATAGCCAGAAGAAATAGAATTGGCGTAACTGGTGAACTCTGTGGGAGACCACAGTGAGTTTGAAAGGGTGGGGAGGTAGTATCTTCAATAGAGATGATGGATTCTCGCTGCTCCATGAATGATGCTACCCAGCGAACCACGTTTGACGGCCATCCTTAGTTTCGAAGCCTGTAGCAGAGCCGTCCTTTTTGGATACCATCAAACGCCCCTTGGACATCGACAGTCACTATACCTGCTACTTTCTTTTCCATCCATTTTTCCTGGATATCGCAAGCAAGTGCTGTGGTAAGTTCAGAAGCAGAGCGAAGAGGGATGGCACTGCATTGGTCTTCAGCTAGTACCCGATATTTCAGAGCTATAAATGAAAGTCGCCGTGCTATCAGTCGCTCAAAGCCTTTACCTAGGCATGAAAGGAAGGAGATTGGTCTATAGGACTTCGGGAGGGTGAGATCTGGGTTTCCTGATTTCGGAAGAATAATCACTGTAGAGTTGTTGAATGCTATTGGGTGTATTCCTAGCTTCTCGCACTAGCGGAAGAGAGCTGACACCCTCTTACTTATTATTGGCTATGCTCGACGGAGAGACTTCGGGGTTATTTCGTCGGATCCTGGGGTTGTAGATGAGACCTGACAGCATGCGCGAAATATTTCTTCCTCGGTGATTGGGAGCCATGGGAGATCTGTCCTGGCAACACTTGGTGTACTGATAGGGATGTCGTCTTGGAGCGAAAATCTATTCAGCAGGGTCTGTTGGAAGGTCTGAGCCTCTGCTTCAGGAGTGGCTATAGGTCCATGCGGTCCGACGAGAAGTGGCATAGGGCTGGCTGTTTGTTTCTTGTGCCACCTAGTAATTTTATATGCCTCTGTGAGACTCGCTACTTGGTCTATCTTGTTACGCCAGTAGTCTCGCTTGGCTTTCTTGATAGTTTTGGCAAATTCGCGGCGTTCTTTAACAGCATCTAAGCCTTGTCGACGTATTCGACAAAAATTGCGGTGAGCTTCTGCACAAGCCTCATTCCACCAGCGACGTCCACTACCTTGTTTTCTGGACCTTGAGCAGGCCGCCCGAAGGGCTCCTGAAATAGCTTCTGCAAGAAAGGTTGCTTCATCGTTGACATCTGATATTAGGGGAGTTCTAAGCCGATCCCTCAAAATTTTGTTAAATGCAGACCAGTCTGCGGCAGCGTATCGGAGTCGGCCAGGGTTAGGGACCTCGGGCCCTCTATCTGTAATTCGGAAAAATAGTGTCCTATGATCTGAGCCGACTTCAAGATCATGTCGAACTTTGCAAGAAGCTTTGGAACACTCTTTCACGAAGCATAGGTCGAGAACAGAGCCTCCATCGTGAGTAGGCTCTCCGTAATTGTTTAATAATAGGAGCCCCTTTTCGGCTACCCACTCTAGGAGAGATTCACCACATGCATCGTTTTGCGCTGCGGGATCCCAAAGCGAGTGACGGATATTGAAGTCTCCTGCTAAGACATCTGGATTCTGGTTAAGGGATAACAGATTAGTAAGTCCTGCTCCTACCTCTACAGAACCAATTGGAGCATTGTAGAGGTTGAAAATATTTATTGCACGTTTGTTCTTCCGTCGAATACAGACTTGAAGCAAATCTCGGGAGTGTATAGCTGGCTGGAAAGGAGATAGACCAACACCTATGCGGGTGTAGGTTATAACTCGGGGTCTGGCTGTCTACTTGAGAGTTGGGGTAAAAGTAGAAAAACTTGGGTGTGTTTTAGTAGCTTCGCGTGTAAAGTCGGAAAAAATCCATGGTTCCTGGATTAGTACGATGTCTGTTCCTGCTTGATAGGCAAGTTCAAGAGCTGTATCGTGAGCAGGCCCACGTTTTCCAACATTGACCTGCAGTACTCAGAGACCAGCAGATTCCTGCTCTCTGCGTGCACGTCCTCGGGTCATCATAATTGATCTTTCATGGTGATCAAGGGGGCAAATCTGGATCCAGATCCGATAATAGCAGTAGAAGGTATAGGACTACCTTCGAGCGTGGCTCTAGCTTGCTGAGTTGTCTGTTTCCCAGCCTCAGCATAATTCACTGAGTGATTCGAGTCATGAGAAAAGACCCCACGTTGGATCACGTGACTGACGTCCTTGAACGAGGTTGGGCCTGAAAGATAGCCCAGCCTAATCGAACGGGGCACAGCCCGTAACACTGCTACATAATACAATGTATGGGGTGCAGTGGCAAAGGCCATGACAATATATTTAGAAACTGCGAGCGCTTTGCAGTGGGTTCCTCACAAGAATAGCTCATAAAGTAGAGGGTGGGCAGATTTCTGAAAGGAACCTACCTTTTTCCAATTTGGTGGCGAAACGCTTAGCTCATGTGGTGGTGCAGAGGAGAAAATCGAGTGAGCCCATACTTCGTCGATGGCCCGCCGAAGCCAGTCTTTCTCGCACAAGGAGCAAAAAACTAAGTGAGTGGTTGACTTGTTAGCCCCGCAGGAATAAGTCAGTCAGAAGTGGGGATAATTAGGGCTATCATGAAGTTTCACAGATTGAACGATCATAATGAGTTATTGATAGTAGAAATGAAGATACACTGTCTGCGGACTTCATCTTCGAGTCAAGTAACATCCTGTAATTCTCTTTGTCATGACGTCATCTGGATCGGACTAAAATTGCTTGTGTGTTTAGGATGTCAGTTAGTAGATCGCATAAGACATACTCGAGTTGCGGAGAGAATGATATCACAGGAAGTATGAAATCATGAAAATCATGATAATATGGAAAGTATGACGGGTAGTTGGATTTAATTAGGTATGGGTTGTAATATCAATGAGGAATCCTTAAAGCCGAAGTAGGTTTGTGGTCACCTGGCAGGTATGGGAGTTTATTTTGTGAGTAGGCAGTAGTCACATGACTTAGTGCGGTTCGCCGTGTCGCCCATATGGCAGACACGCCCGCAAGTGAATAGAACAAGAATCACCACATCAGAGAGAAACCCATTGCGTACGCGTATACGTGTATATAACCAACCGACAGTATGTAAGAAAGCTTAGCATTAGGATATTCAGACCTCACGCAAAGTCATCTGAAAATAAATATGCTTTTATTTCTATTGAAGGAAGATATGGTTAGAAAACTGTACTGCTGGTAAATGCCTAAAGCTTATTGCGTATATAATTATACTAGCTACTAAGTTCTACATTTACTATACAATCTATAGACCCTAGTTTAGCCCAGCTTACAAATCAAGTCACATGTCATCTAGGGCTCAGTGACTGATACTTCAACAACTTCTAAACCTCCTCTCTTCTTTGGAAGACCTTTGCACCGCATTACTTCCTTTGGCTCTTCTACTTCTCACAGTGAAGCTTTCGCCTCAGATATCTTCGTTTGATCTCTAATCCACTGACTATCTCATTTCGTACCCTGTAGAAATATCGCCACATCTAACTCCCTGAGATGAAGGCCACGTTGTTCACACACACGTGACTACAAGCCCTGTTCTTTGACTTCGGTAGATGCCGAACCGAATGCGCTCTACAACCTCAATGACTGAAGGGATATTATTTATGATATTATTCTATTCACAAATAGTGCCCTTATTCTTTGAGTGGCTTTATTCATCAAACCCATACCTATTCTCCAACACTGTGTTATAAATCTACTTATTGGCAGATTCTCGAAGCTGTTTTTTTTTTTGCATCAGATTTTAATTGCGTGTGCAGCTATCCAGATATGACACAATATCAAAGAAGTGTATAATAGATGACTCACTTTAAAAGAAGAGCACTCATGCCTCGGATTTCATTTGGAAGTACCACTGCGAAGTTATGGTGGCTTATCTTCACCCTAAGTCAACCCTCATCCGTGAATACCCACCCAGGGGAACGTCTCAAAAACCCTGAGTTATCCAGACATGCCTCCATCATCCATCAAATTTTCTCCGCGCGAAACATGGTCTTGGGCGTCTCCTTCCCAAGTGGAGTAGGTGCCCAGGCTACTCAGACTATACCAGAGAACACCACCAGGAGGCGGACCACAACACCTTCCATCGTTTGCTTGCTTTGATAGTGTCAACTGCACTCTCGCAAGCGTGTTTTTGGCGCGCACAAAGCTCAATTCGTAAAACTCTTGCCAAAATTCGGAATTTCACGCCCGTCGAGTTTGCATCCTTCCTTCGCATCATCTTGTGAACTTGTCCTGATCCCTCTCACGTCCATCTCAAAGAGCTATCTCCCAGATTTGTGCTCCACGCTTTGCTTTCTCCGTCGGGTATAAATATCGGCGTGGGCGTGTATTTGGTGGTCGAGGCCAGAAAAAGTCGACGAGAGGTATGATCATTGGGATGAGGACGTACTAGGTCGTACTTGTAGACTTGATGAAGCTTAGTTGAGAATCGGACTCTTTGGGAGTGAAAGATTGACATGGTGGAGTAGTTTGAATTTTTGCCTCGTGGGCCAACTTCTTTGATATTGCGAAATTTGACTGAACTTGGCTCTGGGAGAATATTTCACTCTCAGGTTCGTAGAGGACACCGCGTACAGGTGTTCAGTCTTGCTCTCCTCTCGAAGCTGTTAAGCTGCAGAGGTCGAGTCGGTTTAAATGAAGACAAATTATGGATGTGAAGGGTTAAAGCAGACGGTCAGCGCACGCAAGCAATACCATAAATATTTAACATTCTTCTATGGGAGAGCTAACTGCAACTGGATCGTGCGGATACAAAGTGCGCCCTGACGATTACCTTACATAAGCACTATAGAGAACTTGTTCGTGCGAAAGGCTGGGCACGCAGGTCAGCCCAGACAACCAGTAGCGGGTAAACCCGTAACAATGGAAGGCTCGGAGGTGCGACGGTAATAGTTGATTACAAAGCGACAAGTAGAGTAGTCGATGATCAGATTTTCAAAGGTCACGAATTCAGATCTTCAAATACGCAAATCCTCAAAAAACCAAATTGTTAGAACTACAGACAAAATCCAAATGTCCAGCCTGACCAGATCTAAATTTCCTGGGATCAGCCCTAACCGAATTAGGAAAATAAACCCTGCATCACCAAATCCGGATTACATCCAACAACTTCACAACACTGTCCCCCAAGGTGTGAATCCCCACCAACGCCGTAGTCCGCCTCATTGTGGTATTCTCTGGTATAGTTCTAGTAGCCTGGGCACCAACTCCACTTGAGAAGGAGAGACCTAAGATCATATTTCGCGCGGAGAAAAGTAGATAGATGATGAAAGCATGTCTGGATAACTCTGGGTTTTGAGACGTTCCCCTGGGTGGGTATTCACGGATCAGGGCTGACTCAGGGTAAAGAAAAAGCTGCCGATACTCTGTAGTGGTACTTATGAATAGAATTCGAGGCAAGAGTGCTCTATTATTAAATTGAGACATTTATTTTATTCTGTATCTCTGACATAGTGTCATACAATGATAGCTGCATACACACAGTGAAGATATTATTGAAAAAAAAAGGAAAAAAGAGTCACAGTTCCATTAAAAAATGCTTGGGTAATGTTATAGGTACAGTTTATTAATTATAAAACTATTGGGAAGGAAAGTTATGTACCTTAGATGGAATCTATATCAGGTCTCATGTGTAACCTCTAAGAAGAATCCCCCACCTTTTCCGCTTACTGTATTCTTCAACACTACTTCAAAAGGTTCCTTCTTAGCCTTCTGACTCGAAGATCTCTGATTTACATCGACGAGGTTCTCAAGCTCCAGCTGCCTACCCAAAGATTAAATTAACATCTTTGTCTACGCTAGCCGGCGAAGACTACAGTTAGTACGATACTTATCAGTTGCTATGCGAGGGCATACTTGGATGAGCAAAAGTTTTTGAATTTATACTTGATGGGTACTCAGAGAAGAGGGTCGACTATTCTGCGTCAGCCAAAATGTCTCAAAGTGGTATTTGCGAATGAAACCCAGAGTGTAAACAGCTCTCACTGTAGACTCTGCAGAGCCGAGATTGAGTAACTAAGTCCTTACTTCGACGAGGATTCCCAATCGCTTTCGCGGTCTGTATCGTCTTCATCCCTAAGCACATCCCCCTATCACCACTATCATGAAGCTAACCACGATCAGATCAGATGGTAGGGTCGGAGTCCTACTCATCACCCACCCTTGATCAAGGAGGAGAAGCCATCCGATGAGTTTCCGGAGCGTACCCAGCATCCGATACGGAGATGGTGGATTGGATCAAGTCGACCTCGACTGTTACAAAGAGGGGAGGTGTAGATGAACATGCGCACCTCATATGGTCCCGGTGTCTAGATCTTGCCTGGCCGGGGCTGCAGGTTTTGTGAGACTTTTTCCCGCGCACGCAGTTTCCATGGCTGCCATTTTTTTGGGTAGAAGGTCCCGTGGAAAAGATGGCTGGATTGCATGGGTCAACACTGAGCTGAATGGCTATTCATCACGAGCAATATATCAAAGATCTTACAAGTAACAAAAGTGGATAGAAGTGCTGTTGAAGGTGTGGCTTGGGCCAGAGAGGAGCCCAATGTGCTAGATAGTCTATGACTCAAGTAGTACAATAATGTTAGACTCAACGAGTCAATTGAATAATGTATGAAGTAAAAGTAAAAAGTGTCAATTAATTCCTGGCTGCCATTTCTCTTTCTGATACTATCTAGATTATGTACGTCTAGAAAATGGCAAGTGCTCTATGTGTCCCCAACTTGTCCCCATGAACCAAGTTTCTCATGGTTTGGAACGAAACATCTCTAGTCAGAACAGATAGAGTTCTTATTGCTACAAACCAAGCGAAACACCTTTTTCCGAAACAAATAACTCCAGGCTTTGCAAACCTAACACCTTAAACTTTATATTGATCGCTCCCAAACTATCCACAGTTTGATAAATAATTATACCTCTCTCTCTAGAGTATAAATGTTTCTGAAGTTAATGAGTCAACCCACATATATACAGGATACTGGTCATGTGTCATAACTCTACAGTTGCACACTCATTAAATGAATTAAAAAAGGATATGGTGAAGTGTGCGTTTAACAAACATGACTTGATTTTTACCCCAAACAAACAAATGATGCACCACCACCTCACCTTTCCTCAATATGCTTTTACTGTGGGCCCACACAAGGTCCCACTTGCATGAAATTCCATTAATCTCTCAGCAACCTCTATCGTATTAGACTGAGCTGGTATTTGAAGGGGTTTGAGCAAGCCTGTAGATGTTTGCCATAGTTTCGATTCAAAACGACATCTGCTAAGAACCAGGGGTCTAAATATGCACTCAAATTTTTGAATTGATCCAGTCTGACTCATGGAAATATTTCGACAAAGAAGACCTTTTTTGTAAGCTTCAATCTCCAGATAGCCAGGCACGTTATTTATCCACGCGCAACCCTTCAATAGAAATCCAGCTTTTTGCCAGCATATATCATCCAAAAATTGTTCGTGTGCTTGGCTGACTGCTTTATTGTAATAGCCTGCAGGCTTATTCTTGTACCGTGTACTATGAGACGAAAGTAGAGTGTTTTCGAGAAGCAAAAGATCACCTATAATTTTTGTAAACTCAAAAATAGCAGGCACGTTGTTATAGATGAAAGTTGTTATTAATTCTCCATTCCGTATCTCGTGGCCAATGGTCGTTAGAGGAATCCAATATAAGCCGTTATGGAAGCTATTCTGGGTTTCACGGAATATATGTAGATGCCCCTGAAACCAGACCATTACCTCTCTATGTAATGTTGGACGCGTTCCTCCCAGCAATCCGTGGCCGGAAAGGAATCGACTCATTTCCATTGGTATATCAGCATTGACTCTCATAGGTTGATCAGCCTCTGGCGGAGCGAAGCATGAGAATTTCCCATCGACCCTGATGATACCTTTAAATGCTAGACTAGCTATAAGCTCATGCGTGCAGGCGCCATTATTAAGCTCCGAAAAACGTGCAGTAACTGATTCAAGATCATTTCCTCTACTGATATATCGGAGACATGCATTCTCTGCTTTCGAATAGGCTAAAGGAGTTTGTTCAGGATTCTGCGTTATTTCATGCTGGCCTTCTGTGATAATCTCCACGATTTTCTGGTAGCTCTGATGTATAGAACAGTAGGCCACGATATAAGTGCCGGGCCCAGCAATCTTACTAGCAGACATGTGTATTTGATAGTGATCCTTGGGCACTGGAAACTCACTGACCTTAGGAATTGCGAAAACTCCATAATAAGATGACGAGAGTTTGGAGCTGGTGATCACCATGCGCGCCACTGAAGCCAAAATTATAGCAAGTACACAGCTCATAGCATCAGACCTTTCCAAATCCTCAACTCCTATCAGACGATTCGTTGAGCTATGTAGAATAATTGATACTTTTTTTCCACAGAAACGTTTCTAATTGAAGATTCAATCGTGAAGCGTCTAACCATGGCAGCGGGCAACGGAAAAATAGCATTCGATGAGGGACCGGCGCTTTTAGAAATTTTAGTCAAGTTTCCACAAAATTCTTAGGGTGCCAAGGACATTATGAAAAGTCATCTGGCCGTCGATGCTATTATTTTTTCTAGATTGCATCTTCGAATCACAAGTCGCGGAAAGAGAATATACACAGAGTGGCAATATTCGCGCCACATGACTATTTTAAATTCTTAATTCTATTTGAGTCGCATCAAATTTAGGTCATGTTCGAATTGCTTTCGGTCTATCTGTAAGCGAAGAATAGGAGTGGGGATGTTGCTACATTCTGGGCTCTTTTAGGTGTGGATGTGTGTTGTGCTGGTGATGGCTAGGATTACGATGCACAAGGGTAATGATCACTGAGGTTGAAGGAAGAACTTTCCAGGTGGCTCCATGATGAGTAGAGGAACAATGGAGCACTGTAAAGAAAGTGTTTCTAGATTGTACCACCAGATGGAGGAGACTAGAATATTCCGTGATACTATTTTGGGTAAATAAGGCGAGAGTCTAGATACCTCAGATGTGTATATAATTAGCTCTTTCTACCTCCTAAATCCTCATAGTTCTGAGTATCAAATATATCAGCAGTTCACATGGATTCATCGATAATCATCCGTAAATCTTCTGCCAATTAACCTCCGTAAGCTTTTACCTTTAAAACAATTCGTGAAAGAGAATTGCCAGGCTTGACGTACGTGACCCCTGTCATATGAAATTATATGACAGCGTACCTACAAGGCTCATTTGAAAACCTGTTGATCTAGAACGTAGGTATTATGATTCGTTTTCGGCAGAGATATTTCCCTATTGATTGATTGTTTTTGTATAACGTCGTGCTAGATCTCAACGCAGCCGCAAGATTTCTTCTCGGCCATCTCAGTCCATGTAAAATCTGACATGCCAGCACTTCTAACTAAGCCCGACTATAATAAACGGCCGAAGGCCACCCTGCCATGCACCCCGAACACTTCACCTTTTAGAGTTGCCGGTGTAATCGCTCTGTGTGCTCTGTATATCTAGGATATCCAAGAAGAATCACGCTCGGATGGAAGTCGAAATCAATCTCAAGCACATCCAAGATCGATGACTTCTTATCAATGTCGGACTGTAACGACTGTTAAGCCTAAAGATTCCTGTAGCCTACGCTGGCTATGGCAGGCAATGACACCAAATAAATCTTCAGGAAGGATCTCAAAAAACATGGAGCTTAGGAGATTCTCAATGAATCTTCTGGAAGCACACTGAAGGTTCATGAGAATGATAGGTATATTGAGAATCATTTAGGAAGCTGTCGAAGTGTCTAAACAATTCTGATAAAAGAGGGGGAAATATTCTCAACACCTGTCAGTGGTGTCCCCTACGAAACTCCAGCCCTCACTGAAGTATCTGTAGAGGTGAGATCAACTGAAAACTCTCTCACTTCTACGAGGATTCTCAATCGCTTTCCCCGTCTGTATTGTCCTCAATTTTCAGCCAATCTATCTAACCCTATAATCATATTCTAACCACTATCAGATCACATTGTGGGGTAGAAGCCCTTTTGATCACCAAGCATTGACCGTGGAAGAGAAGTCATCCCAAGAGTTTCCAGAGCGTACCCATCACCCGTTACGGAGATGGTGGATTGGGTCAAGTCGGTTAATGCTACAAAGAAGGGGGACATAGATGAATATATGCACCTTGTGTGGCCCCGGTGTCTGGACCTCGCCTAGCTGGGGCTGCACGTTTTTTGAGACTTTTTCTCGAGCACGCAGTTTCAATTGCTACCACTTTTTTGCTTTTTTTGAGTAGAAGGTTCCGTGGAAAAGGTGGCCAAATTCCACGCGTAAATAATGAGCTGAATGACTATTCATCTCTGAAAATATATCAATTATCTAACAAGTTACAAAGGTGGATAGAAGTACTGTTAAAGTTTTGGCCCGGGCCGGAGAGGAGCTCAATGTGCTAGATAGTCTATACTTTTAGTACGGTAAACATACATCTCTCCCTCTATATACTTCGCTGCTGGTTACGCTATGTTTCAACTACATTTAGATACAAAGCACGAAATTATCATCAATTTCATGAAGTTAATTCACATTTTTGGTTGACCTCTGGAGATGATCATCGATAACGGCTCGTCTTTTATAACATCTGAAATCAGGGCATTTTAAAATTGCTTCAAATTCAAATATAATCAACTACCCCATACCACCCACGGACTAGTGGCCGCTGCGAAAATTTAATAGAATTTTGAAGAAAAACTAGGATTCAGTCTGGTCTCAGTCGACACAACCATCAGCAGAAAGAGCACTTCAAGAAGCTCGTCAAATTTGCAATCTGAGACCTTCAGAACATAGATATTCACAATACTTCCTCTTGTCCAGTGTTGCACACATTTAGCCAACCCAATTTCAACTTCATATGACGCAGGAGATGAGATAGCCGAAGAGACTGAAGCTTGTGTTGAAGATTTAGCCAAACGGAGAATAGAAAAAGTTTACATGCTCCGAAACGTAATTAACAGCGCTAAAGCAAAGCAATCACGTATCCGTCGCTCCTCAGCAAAACGAAGAGCGGCTTCCCGCTCATTTTCAAAGGGAGACTAGGTGCTACGACAAATAAATGAAACCCGAATTTTAGTCATTCGACGATGAACCTTTCCCTGTCGTTAATTGTCATCCTGGAAATACTCATACTATCATGACTCTGGGTGGTATTATTATGACAAATAAATATAATGGAGCTCGTTTACTCCTGGCCTAACAGAGAAAACCAACCCATTGAAAGTCTATGGTACTCCAGCAATACACTACTTCAACAGGATCCAAAGCGCATTGCGCGCGAAGCTAGATTGAAATATCAATTGCTTTTGTTTACTAAAAAAACGCAATGCTGTCATTAATGCGCTTTTCACATTGGTACTAAATCGTCATCCACGAAGTGTAGCATGCAGAGCCAGGGAAATGGAAACAGGTTAGTGATAAATTAGATACCACCGATCGCTACACTCACCCATAGATCACTCCTAAAAGAGACTAGCTACGGTGCTATCTGGAAGTATGTGGGGTTGGTTAATTATCATGTAGATAACCCGTAACATAACATAACACAATAAGATACCATTCGCATCCCGTAACATTTATTGTCATAATCACCCTGAGTAGTTGCAAGCATTCAATTGAAGATACCAAGTGTATACGACCATATACATCACCACCCTTCAATAAATGCTAGGGCTAGCATTTCATACAGCGAGAGAGTGTAGTGTGTATCTAAATTTGCAAACTTTTGTCTACGTTATGGTGAGTGATTCCATGTGGTAAACCAACCTGTAAATAGCAAGCCTTGAGGTAGAGGAGAACCAACAAGTTCAAGTTTTTACGTTACAAGCCGTTTTACACTCATGAAGAAGTAGAAGGTAAGGCCTTATATGAGACTTATTATCCACAAGAGTAGTAGCAGGCTTACCATTTGCGGCCTTAGTTGCCCTAATAACCATGATGTATAGGTAGATTGGATAGAGCCATTGTGGAGGACCATGTGTTGTCTTCCATCTTCCATTGAGCTTGTCTCTATTAATTCATTTTATTGTCCTGTCTGAGTCTATGACTTTGTAGGACATGCAGGTCCTCTCTGCCTACAGGCCAAAGACACCTATACCAGTAGTATATCCCCTCCTATGCCTCCCCTACAGCTCCCCTCAAACAGTACCGCCCCTCAAAAGTCCTCATTCGATCATACACTAAGAGGAGCCCTTTGCCCTTCATAAACTCCCCTCTCCAGCCAACGAAACGATGGCCATTTGCGGATGTATGGCAGCCGGGAAAGTATGCAAAAATTTCTGAGTGGCTTGAGTACCCCTTCAGGAATGTTGCCTGCCGGTCCAGTTCTGGCCTGGAATTTCCTGGAATTGTTGTTGGACTTCCAACCTCAAAAATCCCGCAATCCAATGGCCGATCAGGCACGTCCATCTTCCTATATATTCAGTGATTCACACTTATTGCGCATCTATTTGTAAATACTCACTGTGGCCGTTGTTGCTTGGGGCTCTACAAGTATCGTAGCTTCCTTAGCACTCACTTCTGGAACAAAACATCACTGATATTCTCCAAACCTAGCATTCACGTGAGCTAATCTTCTCCCTCTATTACGATACTATTGAAGGTTACAAAGATACTTTGAGAAATACTTGAGGTAGATTCATTTGTTTACCTTCCTAAGATTTCTCTCATTGGCTCATATATAGTCGAGCTCTATCACCCATTCCATCATTCCTTCTTGGCCTATCAGTCTTAATTGGATTGAACTCATCGAGTAAGAATCAGTATCTCATGTTAATCCCCTGAAAATTATAAATCATAAAATCTCTAGTATGAAGCACGCGCATAAAGAAAATGAGCGGATTTAATTTGTTGAACCTGCTCATAGCGCGCGCGCGTACAAGAAAGGGAAATGACAGATGCTGGAAATTTTCAAATAAACTTTCTATCAATATTTGTGAGCTTGGCGCGCGCAATAACCGGTGTTTCTACAGATGCCCTACGGAACATTGAGAGCTTGTCAAATGTAGGAGAGTTGAGATTTGAGAGTTATCTGGGATCCTATCGCCACGGTTGGAAAATTGATCATCCCCGGCAGATGTCATGAGTTTTGTAATAACTTAATAGTTTTCAGCTGTCTTTTAATATTCTGATCTCGAGGCTCTCAAAGACTTTTGATGCCCTCTCTTGGTAGTTGTAGATCAAGTATCTCTCTCCTGTGTTTATTAGAGCACAACTCTTGCCGTTATTATTCTAGGAGATTGGTTAGAAGAACATGTGTTTGTGCAGCTATTTAGTACAATGTGACATGTTATGATATCGATT